TGTCCCCGGCAAACTGCTTCGTTCTAGGATAACTAATCAAACCAAGGATAACCCAGCCAACCAAGATGGTCGACAACTATCAAGTCAACCAACCGTTGTGCGCATGCAATCCCAGTTCCTTATAAACAAGTACGCTTTGGATAAGATAAATGAATTTATGCATACTTCTAGCTGTGTTCTAATTCGCTACTTGTGGAATCGCTACCTGGACAAGAAACGAAATCGGAAGACGATCATTTGATAATACAGTTTCCAGACAAATCCGTACGGTTATAGTGTGACCTACTTATCATCACACTTGCCGTTCAAACCAAGTGCGATAGCCACACAACGATGCCCNCCCTTAAGACTAGGACTGGAAGAAAACGCATTCGCGTTGACGGGCCCTCTGATTCCAAACCGCGCTGGGAGAATCAGGTGACCTGAGTCATGACTAGAATGAGCTGTATCTTCTTGCACAGTCATGATGCAACTGCAATTTGCTCGGCACGTGTGTTAGAAAACCGTGCGTAGAACGCTTCCGATCAGCCGATTGATTGATTTCCTTTCAGGATCAATGACAGGACGTCAAGAACTAATGTATAGTGAAATGCAGGGCGGTGTGTGAGTGTTATACACAAAGAACACCCAAAGCGACATTCAGATCCCTTGTGAACTAATCGGTGGTATTACCAGAAAGAAAAATTTTGCACGAAACGAAAACCATTGAAGGAAACTCAGTTGATGCGTGAGGCTTTAGCGTTGTCCTTCAGAGCAATACCCGATCCACGATGACCTAGCAAAAGAGCATTGTCATCTCCCAAAATATGAAGAATGCATTTCGCTGATAAACCGGGCGCAGTCAAGTGGTTTGTACTCATTGGATTTTCAATGGTAGTCCCTGATATGCTGCAAGTAACCATCATCTCCCGTGATTCCATTGTACGTACAAGACAAGTATGGTTATGAAATTTATACAGCTGCTATGGGCTAAACCCAGCTGTATCGGTTAAAGGGGAAAAACTACTAGATTTGTATCGACATGTAAACACTTTTCGCTAAACACGTTTTCACATCCTCTTGTATTCTAACCATGATATGTCACTACAGAGCTGAGGGGATTATCGATTTACAGGATAAGATTTAGAACAGCCAAGCTATCTCATGAAAAGTAGAATAACTGCTCAGAAGAGGAACCTCTCCGTAGACACATCTCTAAGGTGATTTCCACATATACAGCTGTGTGGATAGCTCTATGATCTGCTGACAGACATGTTTTATGCTCTATTAACCCCGTTCCGGAGAGCAAATGGCAAAAGCGTGTACTTACTGATCGGGATTGTTTGTCAGCTTGTTGTATACGCTCTCGGACATCATCCGGGAAACAGGACAGACCGGCCCAAGGCAACTGCGGTACACGCTGTCCCAATGCAGCTTCAATGGCTTTCAGACGACTGGCCGAGTACGGTGTGACCAAAGTGATGGCGCGACCAGGTCGACCGGCTCGCGCTGTTCGCCCAACGCGGTGGATGTATGCTTTTGCTGAATCAGACCACGACGGTCGCTTGGGCACATCATAGTTAATAACCAGGTCGACATCCGGAATATCCAAACCTCTGTAAGAAACACAAAATGGTAGCTGATAGGGAGTAGCAGTGCGTACCGATCATATCATACCCACAATGGTATTTACCGGAATGGGGAAAAAGACAATCCAGCAGTATGGCGAAAACAACCGCGGGCATTTCTGAAATGCCACGGTGGTTTGGACCATCATGGATTGTATCGTTGTCCGTATGGGTGGAACCAGAAGAGAAATGTAACGTTCTGTTTAACTACTTCCATGTTGACGTCAGAGTGGGCGAAGGAGCATAGACCTGTTTAACTCAAATCTTGAAAAGAAAAATTCTAAACCGAAATATAAGCCAAATTTGTTCGTCAGGAAACCAGCCGGCTAGAGCTGTGTCCAGTGTGTGTGTGTGTGTGTACATTAGACCAGTGATGTACGTTGAATTTCCTACTGCGCAACCCTCGCATTTGGTAGATAAAACTGAACGAAACCGAAATCTAACGCATTCAAATGAATAAACATGTACAGTATGGTTTTGATGGGGCTGTTGGCATTCTTGACATCAAATACTGCAAAAGCAGGCGTACGAACTGGCTACGGAGTGTGAAGAGGATTACCAGTGTGATGGCGTTTACTAGATATCTGGACACGATGACCCCAATAAGCTACAGTCTTCTGACACATGCGCACAGTTGCCATCGCAGTCTTACAGAACAGGCTTTATTAGCCAAAAGCTCCAGGCTTTGGCCTGAACAACTTGGTAGTATTGCGTCTTTAAACGAATGATGGACTAATTTCATTGGTACGAAAATCCCTGCGCCGTAAATTGCCTATCTATTCTATCTGCAAGACAAACACGAAACGTTTTTTGTTAGCTTATTCCAATTTACCGCGTACGGTTCTTCGTCCGTAAACGAGATAGCAAGAAAACCATGTGCATTTCTTATTGAATGTGAAATCCAATGACCTAATTCAACTATGAAGATCTGAGGAAAGCAAAGTGATCTGTTTGTCCTAGAAATTTCGAAAAGGAATAGTGTTTTGAAAGCCAAACATGAAAACAAAGTTATGGTGAAAGAGGAATAAAGATGTCACACAAAAGCACAGGTGTGGGTAACAGTCGAACTCACCGAGATGCCAAGTCTGTAGCAACTAGGACGTTGACTTTCCCAGAGCGAAATTCGAACAATGCATTGTGCCGTTTGTCTTGCTGCATGGAACCGTTCAAGGGTGTGGCGGTACCACCAGTTACATGACTGAGTAATTTTAAAAACCCAGCTATTCGAAATGATTCTCGCCAAGTGGTGGTGAACACAATGGTTCGGTTTGACTCTGTGGTCTTTGGATGACAATAAAAATAAAAACAAGCTAGCTGAAACAGTTGGCCACTAAAGAAGTACTAAGATTAAATCTCGGCTAAAAATTAATGTGATAAAAAGCAAAAATTCATGTGCAGTAACTGAAACGGTTTTGCAGAACGATCGTAGTTAAATTTTGGTCGCTTCGATTGGATTTTCACCCATTGAATGAGGAAGGGTAGGATGAAGTACTACTTTACGTGCACCGGCAAGAGTGGGGTGGATACATTGATGATATGACGATTCAGGTAAATATGCATTAGATATAAAATGGGTTGGCAGCGTTTTTGTAGTTGCCGGAATCAATACCAAACCTATAATGTAATATAATCGTGCGACCTTATGCAGTTCACCCCACCAATTTCCGGAGTTTGGTTACCGGTTTCAATAAGCGAATAACAGATCCTGGCAAAGATGGGGTTTACTCCATCTGTTGTTTATCACACAACAGTGTATAATAAAAAACTTTATGCCAGTGCCAGTTGGACCAGTCGTCGTAGTATTGAATCGGACGAAAGCAAAGCTGCCGAACATCGAAGATGGATAGTAGTGGAGGACTTGGATCTAGGACCATCACGACGAGACTGCACACTGACGTGATGTGATGGCTCCGCGTGCCTCCATGACCCTGCGATCTATAAAGGATGGTTCCTCAAAGATGCAAATCCAATCATGCGTGAAAGCTCAGTGGGTAGAGACCAGACGAAGATCAGTCTCACGAGGCTAGCTGCTTGGGCACCTCCAGGCTTCCGTTGAATATCCACTCTCTCCCCTGGAGTGATCACTTCAGCAAAAGACACCGTTAGGGGCTGTTTACCGATCAGAAACCGCCGCTAATTGAACGTAGGAGTGGGGTATCCGGTTCGCCCACTCGACAGTGGGAGAAGTCTTCACATTTCACTCATCCGAGAGAGAGATCAGTAAATGGCAACGGTAGGGGAACATGATGGTGAACACCCTGGCAGTGTCCGTCCAAAAAGCTTCAATGAACACACAAACAAAAAATAATTTCATACTGCATCAGTCGTCGCGCAGGATAATCAGAACCGCGCTGCCCATTGCATCGAGCGGGTTTGGTAGTGATAAGTGGGATATTGCTCAGATATCCCAACCTTTGTTCAACTCTTTGTCTTCCGTACCCAACCCTATCGCTAGCCCCTTCTTCCGACCCGTAACATTTCCCCAGACAACTTCGTCGTCACTCGCCAAAGGTCATTGCCAAATACCACTGTAACTAGTTTTCCTGTAAGTGCAGATTCTGAAGCCTCGTCAACCTCTCAATCTGGGGGCTTTCAACGTGAGGACTATTATGCAGGTGGGTCAACAGGTGTGTCTTGCGCGTACAATGCAGCCTCTAGAAATCGATGTCTGTTGCGTATCGGAGACACGAATTCAGGATCCTAGTATTATAAGCCACTTGAGTGCTCCGGGGCTGTCCTCAAGGTATTTCCTTCGCACATCAGGAGACGACGAAGCCCGCTCACTGAGTCAGCGTGGTGTAGGTATCGTACTAAACGATAGAGCTGAAACCTCTACGACAGATTGGATACCCGTCAATAGGCATCTGTGCGCACTGAGGCTACAGGGATCAGTTAGTGTTCGGAAGGGTAGCATCACCAGAAAGTGTTTGTTCATAATTTCCGCGTGTGCACCAACCAACTGCAGTCCCGCTTCACAAAAGGACGAATTTTACGATAAACTCGCCGAATTGATTCGGTTGAGCCGCAACTCTGATACTACAGTGCTGGCGGATGATTTCAACGCGCAGGTTGGAAAACTGAGCGCATCCGAAGCCTGTATAGGAGGGCACTTCGCCCTCCCCACCCAGCGAACAAACAACGGTGATCGACTAATTCAGTTCTGCGCGGATCACCGGCTGTTCTTATCTAGCACTAACATTCGACACAGCTCTCGTCGAACGGCTACATAATGTTCTAGTTCAACGGGAACGTTGACCCAAATTGACCACAGCTGTAAGCTACCGTTGGCGTGGTTCAGTACAAAATTGCAGATCTGATTGGAATACCTTCGTTG